TCGAGCTGGTTGAGAGAGCACGGAGATATGTGACTGCTAAAGGTAAAACGCTTTTCTCTGAGGCAGGTGCAACATGTTGAAAGACACTCAGTCTGCTAAGGTTTACAGCAAAGCGATTCCACATGTTGGCCCTGATGGTGAGGAGTATCTGCTGTGGCTTGCAGTTCACATCAGCTGCTGCAAAACAAAAAAAATAATGAACATTACTTCATTGAATTCTATCTGTTTTAAGCACAATACAGTGACAGGAGAATGTGGCGGAAAATTCCCAGAAAGTCAGCTTAGATACCATAAATGATAGACGCCCTCCCTTAAATAAATGCCTGTTGTCTAATAAATGTCTCTCCTAAGATGTTAGGTAGGTAGGTAGGTAGGTAGGTAGGTAGGTAGGTAGGTAGGTAGGTAGGTAGGTAGGTAGGTAGGTAGGTAAGGCCTAGGCCAAATGTTGAACTTTTCATGAGACAGACCAAAATCTAATTTGGGTCGACCCATATTAAGTTAAGATCGTCTGTTGGGGCGGTCGTCGAACTTACAACTCGTCGAACCAATTAACTGAATCAGGCACAAAAGCAATTTTAATAAATTTTCTCCCGAATGAGACTAAACATACATTATGAAACAAATTTTTTATTTATAAGTTTAGTTTGCCAAATGTGAAGGTTGGCGTTTGTGCCAAAGAAAATCTTCAGACATTCTATCTGTCAGAAGCAGACGGATAGAATGTGTTGGACGATCCAAACTCATTCAGAAGATCTTAACCGAGCCACATGTCAAACTTTTCATGAACTTAACTAAGTTTGGTTCATCACATGAAAAGTTTGACGTCTCGCATTAAGGGATGTCAGTTGCCGCATCTCCAGAGGCAATCTGTTCCATAACACACTTCCATGAGCCATAAGTGGGGATTGTGATACACCACCAATCACTAACATCCACGGTGGTACAAATAGTTGTACTCAGTAAATCAATACTATCACCTAATGAAGACCCGCAGTAAGTGGTTGAAACATCATGATCAGTATCGAAGTGACAACCATGAGATAAACGATAAACAAAACCCTTTATACGTATAATGATATCCGGTCACCTTGCCACCAACGAAAAATCGCCACCAAGATTTTTTAATCTTAATACTTGTCAAAAGGACAAGTCTCTAAAAAGAATTCTTTCACTTTAAATTTACAATGAAATTTAAGTTGGCAAGGTTCAAGTGACAAAATTAACCAACTTACAAAAGAAAGGCTGTTGGATTTTAAACAAATTGCACCTTTCAAGCGATGCAAACAAGCCACCTTAAGGTATTAAGAAATCGCAATTATTCACAAAAATAAAACTAAAGACGAGAAGTTCCAAGCAAGGTGTCAGTTAAAATCGATAAACATATTTTTGGGCCTGAGGAAGAAGTAACGACCCCAGGTAAGTAAACAGTGTCAATAAAAATTGTTGCAGAGTTATTAAGTGGTGCATATAGGCTTCTTGGTAGCGATTTCGATGATAGCAAGATGACTGTAAACCCAGATAATACGCTTCTTGCATAAAGTGATGTATAAGTTGTAGTTGAATTTTATCCTTGATTTAAATTTTATTTTCCTTTGTTTTGGGGTATAGTAATGTATGATAATGAGTTTGAAAAAAAAGGAAATAATTTAAATCAAGGATAAATTGAACCACAACATACACGTGTAACTTTCTGGTTCACCTGCACGTGAACCTTCGATGTACGAGATTTGGATGCAGGTTTGATACAAATACAGATTTTATGGAGTACTAAACAGTTACAAGCTAATTAATTTTAACCAAAATCCCAAACTGCCCTACATCCAACAAACATGGCGCTAAGATGCTGTAATGGATAAGCATCCCCTGGTCTGAGCCTGGCAATTGACTCTGGCTTGCCTCTTGATGCTGTCACTACATCTCCAACTTTCAACTCATGTGGGGCTAAGATAATCTTCATCTTGTCACTGCTATTCCCCGCAACTAAGGCAATCCGACCGGAACGGCATGGGTCATAACCTATATGCAAAACTTTATCCTTTACTGTCCTCGGTTCTTCACTCTTTTTAATCTCAGGAGCCCTCACAAAGTCCACAATGCGATACGTCTGTGAATGACCCCCACCACGGTGACGGATGACGATTCGTCCAGTGTCATTTCGCCCTGATCGTCCACGATGCCTCCGTACAGTTCCATCCTTTAGAGAACTTGGAATAGGGATGTTTCCAATGCTGCGAGGTACCCTTACGAACGAGTAGTGTGTTCGACCTTCTGATATCGAGCTGGTTGAGAGAGCACGGAGATACGTGGCTGTTAAAGGTAAAACGCTTTTCTCTGAGGCAGGTGCAACATGTTGAAAAGCACTCAGTCTGCTAAGGTTTACAGCAAAGCGTTTCCACATGTTGGCCCTGATGGTGAGGAGTATCTGCTGTGGCTTGCAGCTCACATCAGCTGCTGCAAAACAAAAAATTAATGAACATTACTTCATTGAATTATATCTGTTTTAATCACAATACAGTGAGACGAGAATGTGGTGGAAAATTCTCAGAAAGTCAGCTTAGGTACCGTAAAGGATAGACGCCCTCTCTTAAATAAACACCTGTTGTATAATAAATGCTTCTCCCAAGGTGTTAGGTAGGTAGGTAGGTAGGTAAGGCCTAGGCCAAATGTTGAACTTTTCATGAGACAGACCAAAATCTAATGCGGGTCAACCTATATTAAGTTAAGTCGGACGTCGAACTTAGGACACGTCGAACCAATCAACTGAATCAGACCAAGGAGACTAAATATACATTATGAAACAAATTTTTAATTTATTAGTTTAGTTTGCCGCATGTGAAGATCAGCGTTTGTCCCGGAGACGATCTTCAGACGTTCTATCTGTCTGAAGCAGACGGATTGAATGTGTTGGACATCCAAACTCACTCAAAGGAACTCAACTGAGCCAGATGTTAAACTTTTCATGAACTTAACTCACTAATTTTGGTTCGTCTCATGAAAAGTTTGACGTCTAGCCTAGGCCTTACTTTATTTGTACACAGTATTTCCTTCTCAATCTGGTACATTTAAATTCAAGTATAGAAAACTAACAACCCAACTAAACTAGAATGTAAGATAAAAACTAAAATAAAAAATAAAAAACCTGCTTTACAAGGAGGCAATGTGTAAAGATTACATAGTGCAAATTAAGTAATTTCACAATCGAAATTAAGGTTTTTAATTTTCCTTTGAAAAATACTAAGTGATGTCAGTTGCCACACCTCAAGAGGCAAGATCACCTCCACGAAATATATATCTTAATACTTATCTGAAGGACAAGTCTCTAAAAAGAATTATTTCACTTTAAATTCACAATGAAAATGTGAGGAGGAAACGTTCAACTGACAATATTAACCAACTTTCATAAGAAAGGCTGTTGGATTTTAAACAAATCGCACCTCTTAAGCAATGCAAATAAGCTGTATTAATAATGGTAATTGAACTGAGTGGAGTGCAATTTGGTCTGAAATCATACGCGTGATTTCAAAATCGAACGAGCGTGCAGCGCGAGTTCGATTTGAAATCACAAGTATAATTTCAGACCAAAATTGCACGATACGAAGTTCAATTACCACTTTATTACATCCATTTTGAAATCGCAGAATTTAGTCAGTACTAACATTTTATTGATCGATTAACCGGTTGGTTAAAAAGCCGAAACAAAAAGGCTTTTACATCTCATTTTGTATTCGAAACAGAAATGATGCGATATAGAACAAAAATGGTGCGATTTAAAACAGAAATGATGCGATTTAGAACATGAATGACGCGATTTGGAACAGATGCGATTTAGAGCAAAAGATGGTGCGATTTAGGAATAAATCACACTGCTGAGAGCCAATCAGATTGCACAGATAGCCAGTGATTTCAAAGTGGATGTAATAAAGGTATTAAAAAGTGACAATTATTCACAAACAAAAAAAAAACTAAAGATGAGAAGTTTGAGGTAAGGTGTGAATTAAAAACAATAAACTTATATTTGGGCTTGAGGAGGAAGTAACAATACCAGGTAAGTAAACAGTGTCAATTGTTGCAAAGTTATTATGTTATGTGGTGGCGAGTAGACTTCTTGGTAGTAATTTCATTGGTGGCGAGATAATACGCTTCTTGCACAAAGTGATTTATAGGTTTTAGTTGAATTTTATCCTTGGTTCAAATTTTATTTTCCTTTGTTTTGGGGTATAGTAATGTATGATAATGAGTTTGAAAAAAAAGGAAAATAATTTAAATCAAGGATAAAATTGAACCACAACATACACATGCAACTTTCTGGTTGACCTGCATGTGAACCTTCGATGTACGAGATTTGGATGCAGGTTTGATACAAATACAGATTTTATGGAGTACTAAACAGTTACAAGCTAATTAATTTTAACCAAAATCCCAAACTGCCCTACATCCAACAAACATGGCGCACAAAACGTGAAAAGATAACTACATATCTATGAGGAAAAAATAGCGCCAAATGTCCAGGACGTTCCAGCTGTAGATTGGTGGGGATTACTACATGAAGATAGAACAGTATTGCCTTTGTGTTGTCGTTAGAAAGCATAAAAATGGACTCACCGCTTCAAGACACGTCTTCTGACCTTTTTCGATGGCGTTGGGTAAGTAATTCTTACATGAAGTATCCATTCTGCCTTACTTGTAATCCGCTGACAGTACGACCTGTCCTTACGGAAATGCCCGTATGTTCTGGTGAGGTCGCTATCTTGGAGAATCGATTAAAGTGGTGTTATTCAAAAACAAAGATCGTTTTTACGTTCTGGAAACGTCCTCTGTAGAAAAAAGGTCCTAAGGTTAGTAGAGATCATAGTCGACTGTTTGCATACCTAATATGGTTAATGTCTTGATTTTCTAAGGTTGTGCATTGAAGCTAAGGTAACCTCAGCTTACATAACTTGCAAATTTAATATTGATATTTGTATGTTTGTGGATCAGTCTGGATTGTTTTGGAATTTTGTAGGTTTTGCACAATGTGGAGGGTGACTTTGTCAAAGGCGGCTCGAGTTCAGTCCCTTAAGGGCTTAGCACCTTCTTTTCAAGTTGCAGGTGAGACTAACACATGCTGCTCAGCCATGAAATTAAAAGAAGCTGATCATGTTAGCTAATAAAATGAGCAGGGCCTTGATATTTTGCCGTCATGTTATCCTCATGGATCTCCTTATTAGACTGACTGGGCTGTTAGAGTTTCATAATGTCCCTGTCAGAAATAGAAGATTGGAAATGTCTACTAGCTATACCACACAAGGAATGAATAGACATGCGCACAATTATTGATTTGGGAAACCTGTCGTTTCATACCTAAGTCAATAGCAACCGGGCAAGTTGCCTGAAAGTCATCTTGACTAAATGACTTTCAGGCAACGTGACCGTAAACCAAGTCAATTTGAACCCAGAAGGTTCGTACCCACATTTAACAGAGTGAATACAGCTCAATAATAAAAACACACTTCACATGAAGTATACCTTGTTCGGTAAGCCATGAGGTAAAATAGTACACTATGAATTTAATATACTTCGTTCTTAAGCCACAAAACAGATGCCACACAAGTCATGTGACACTGAGTACGAATCAACTTGGGTATGAATCAAGTTGGGTATGAATTAATGACTGTAAAGCATTGCTAATACCTACACATTGCAAATTAATGCCTAGCTCCAATAAGTGTTATATAGGCATTTACTTTTATCAATTTATGAGTATTCTTATTTTCAGCTCAACATTATGTGACTGCAGCTCCAGCACCAGAGAAGATTGAAGTGTGTGTCGATGACAAAAGCCTGTTGGTTGATCCAGGAATGACAGTGCTACAGGTCAGTAATACAGGGATGTTGAATAACAGCCAGCTTTTGGCTTATTTCACTGGCCAAAATAGAGCTTTCCACCAGCTCAAATTATTCTGGAGAACTAAAATATGGGGTAATTTTGAAGATGCTGTTGAGTAAATAACCTTGACTTATGAAGTATGGTTACATGTAGCTTTTCCTTCACCACACGATGTATATCCGCGGGTTTAAGTTTTCAGTGGCTTGAAGAATCTGGGAATAGGAACAAAAACTGAAAAGTAAATAAATAATACAGGCCTTTATTGATGATTAGGCAATGTGTTAAATCAGGTTTATTACAAAGAAAGGGTATAAACAGAATGATATTTTGGTAACAAAACATTGTATAGCATGATACAAAGGAGATAACTTACTGATAACGAATAACACCAAGGACCTTTTAATAATTTTTAGGGAGGGCTGGTGCCTTCTGATTAACTGCAAATTATCCTTACAACTTAGATGTGCTTACAAATCAAAGGGAGTATTTGACATAAGAGGAGGAGTCAGTTAGGGTGCTGAACAATACGTGCACATTTATTCAAAGAATACACCCACAGCAGATGCCCTTTTAGGCAAAAACCTTGGTTTTTAGCCCATGTTGTTTCTCAGTCATTATCTTCTCTGATTCGTTGTTCTTTAGGCTTGTGCCATGGCTGGTGTTGAAATTCCAAGATTCTGTTATCATGACAGACTTTCTATTGCTGGTAACTGCCGCATGTGTCTTGTAGAAGTGGAGAGATCTCTCAAGGTTGGGCTCATATTCTTTTGTCATCAACTGTTGCAATGATGATAGAAGAGAAATTCATTTGAATTTCAGTTAAATTTATCAATAATAATATTACCTGTATTCACTCATAGAAAGTCTTGTTGACTTACATAATTAAAATATTGCAAATCGCACGTTGATACCAGATGACCTTGATTATACTACGCTCTAGTCCTTCTATTGGGTGCTCTGCCGATAGGCATGCATATGCATCAACTGGTATAATTAAAATACTGGGTAGATTTACAATGCATAGAGTCTTACATGTATTCACTGCAAGCAATAAACATAAGTTTCTTCTTGATAACAAAAAAGAATAGTAACAGTTTACACACTAGGAAAATAGCAGATAAAAGTAATTTGTCCCAAAAACCTGTACTTATACTTGTGTACACATATCGGTAATGAACTATAAAATGACAAAGAAAAACTTTCTTCACATACATGTATTTCAAAATTTGTTTACAGTAAACATGATTTTAATTTTAGCCGTTATTTGGTGCCTTTGTTGGCCAGTTTTTTTGTCTTTCTTTAAAATGAAAACATGATCATAGCAATGGTAATTGTAATTTAATTTTTTTGCGAGTAAACCCGAGAAAAATTTTGGGTCTTGAACACACATGGCCTCGGCATTAACACTGCAGTGCTCTACCATTTGAGCTATGAACTGGATTTTCATTAAGAATTCTAGTAGCAGGAAAAAGGTGTAACATTAGAGGAGAATATTTTGAAAGAGGCGCCAATTCTGAATAAATTGTCATAGGATACGGAACATTAGTCAGAGAATTCTGCATAGTAAACAGAGAATTATCCAATCTCTGATGCCTAATAAACCCATACAGTGGGAGCAGGCCAATTTGTTGAGTTCATATTAACCCATGAAAGGAATGAAAGTGTGAAGACCCATACAGTATGAGTCTTCATAGCTCAAATGGTAGAGTACTGCAGCGCTATCGCAGAGGCCATGTGTCTGAATCCCGTGGAAGTCCAGAAATTTTTTCGGGTTTACTTGCAATTGCTTAAATTGCAATTACCACTGCGATGATCATATCTTTATTTAAAATTTGTATTTCTGCAGTTCACATCGTCAGTTTTTTAGTCTGTCAAATTAACTTACTGTTTTCATTTCATTGCTGTAGCCTGTTGCATCTTGTGCAATGCCTGTTATGAAAGGGATGAAGATCAAAACAGACTCACCAATGACAAGAAAAGCCAGGTAATCCTACAGTGCTCAGTATTTATATTGGTCATGTAATCTGATGAGCTTCTACATGTATTATAGAAAAATAAGGGATTTTTTAATATTCTTTTAACCCATTTGCCCCCATAACCACCCATACGGATCCACGTCCCTTCTACTGCTTGTGACATCATCAATTTTCATGGTCAATGACAACTTTTTCTGCTAACTTGTTCAGAATGAAGAGATCTTTAAAACCATATGATCAGAATGAGCATGATTCAGTCAAGGACACCAGACAAAAAGGCAAAAAAGACAATGTAACATTGACCTGAAAATTTCTATGAAAATCTTGTTCCACTACCCACCTACCACCTACCACCTACCTTTCCTTTCATCTAATCCTAAGATCCTAAAAGTTTTCCCAAAAATGAAGCCTACTAAATGCCAAGCAAAAGAAAAAAATGAGGCAAGTAAAGCGAAAAAAGAGGGGAGGAGAGAAAGCAAAAAGTAACAGTCAAGACTGCTGTGTCACTTTTAAACCCCAAAACTATCACAAAATTTTGCTTTCAGCGCATGCCCAAATTTTGTAAGCTAATATTTTGTATCTGGATCAGAAGGTTGCAAGGTGTACAACCTGTAAATAGCTTTATGGTAGGTTTTAGCTTTTTATAGCATGACAGTGACCAGAAAACTGCTTGACTAGCTTCAAAACATATTTTTGGGCAAAATTTCTGGAGCGAATGGGTAAATCTTGAGCAACTCAAGGTCAAACATCAGGGCTGTGCTCTAAGAACAATAATGGACGGGCAGGGCCCAAATGCTCTTAACATACAGTTTGTATGATTTCCTGCTGCATAGATCAAAATCCAATAGGGGCTGCTGGAGTATGGCCCTGAACTCCACTGCTTTATTAAGACTGTATACATGTATCTGAAGGTCTTCTTAGAATAGCCATTTTATGTTAACCAGCAACTTAACTGAAGATTGATCTCAATCAGTGGTGTTGACTACAGCCAGCGTGCTCCTTCCTTGGTGATCTGGCCAGAGTTTGGGTTTGAACTGTGTTTAAATGTGAAAAATCGTGCCCATGAGAAGGGCACTCTACCAACAGAGCTACATGTAAAGAGTGACATGTGTACTGTTACTGTAGCTCAGTTGGTTTGGTATGTGTAAAACTGGAACATCTTGGGCAGACAAATCTAACATTAACATTCTACATGGGTTTGTAGCTGCAGTTGGCTTTAGAGCGATATATATATATAGAGACATGAGGATTCTAAAATATTTCTCCAATCCATGTTGTTTCCACCAGGGAGGGAGTGATGGAGTTTCTGTTGGTGAATCATCCACTGGACTGCCCCATATGTGATCAGGGTGGAGAGTGTGACTTGCAGGACCAATCCATGGCATTTGGTAGTGACAGAAGCAGATTTGTGGACAACAGATTTTCAGGGAAAAGGTAATGTAACACCATCAGTTACCATACTATACTCTATGTAAAAGCACTTCCCTTCTCAACTGATTATTGATGATTGTTTTTGTGTTTTCAAAGGGCTGTGGAAGATAAAAATGTTGGACCACTGGTAAAGACCATCATGACTCGCTGCATTCACTGCACAAGATGCATCAGGTTAGATTATTAAAGGGTGATTTGAGAACAAAAATAATAATGAAATTTAACAGTGAAATAATGTATTTCTCATTTAAATAAATGTAAAACTGTATTTTGGCTGCTGCATGTATGTTTCATTCCTTTAACAGATTAAGATGAAGTCAACAAATTGGCGTGCCCACAATGTCTGGGTCTTCACAGCTCAGTTGGTAGAGCACTGCAGTGCTAAGGCAGAGGCTGTGGGTTTGAATCCCATTAAAGTCCCAAAATTTTGTGGGGGTTAATTTCCAGTTAATTGCCATTAGATTAGTATTAGAACTGTTTCAATCACATCTTCATTTAAAATAATGTAGTATTTACTAATCCTGAGGGTGGGTTTCCACTGTCACATAATTTATTTTTACGTGCCTACACACAGTAAATTTCTGTGCGTATGTATGAAGGGCGTAAAAGTTGAGCGAGGTTCAACTTTTACTTTTACACATGACTTTCCATACATTGCCTTGTTTTTTTTATTTACTCATTTATAATTTACATGTGTATGCAAATGAAAATAAGGTGACAGTGGAAAGCGACCTTTTGGCAAATAAATTATAATGAAGCCCTGAACTAATCAGCAGCCATAAATCTCTGTAACCATGGTACATCTACGTGACCTTGAACATTTCACTATTAACACTGTTAGGTTTGCCAGTGAGATAGCAGGTGTAGATGATCTGGGCACAACTGGTAGAGGAAATGACATGCAAGTGGGAACGTATGTGGAGAAAATGTTTAAATCAGAATTGTCTGGAAATGTTGTTGGTATGTAAACATATTGAGTTGTATTCAGCCTAATAAACAATTTAAAAAGGCAGAAATAGAGAAATGAGCTGCTCCATTTCACCAGTGGCAAACGCTGTGGGGCCAGCAAGCAAAAAATAATAAATTAATACATCATATCTGTAGCACATCGACCAGTTGCATACATGTATCATTAACCTAACATCAGATGTGACTAGTACAGTAGAACCTCGATGTAACAAAGTCTACGGTTTAATGAATGATTTTCTTTACCCCATTGATAGTAAAGTATGTGTAAAAGGATCTCGTTATAATGAAACTTCATTAATGTGAACACATTTTGCCAGTCCCTTGGTCCTTTGTTATATCGAGGTTCCAATGTAACATCTTGCATTAAAATAGTGGGTGTTTGGCTGATTACCAGCCATTCTACTTAACAATATTATCCATTCGTAGATTAAATCAAAAATAATTCCCTTCTTATGTTGATATTAATTTTTATATTAGGGCTATTTAACAAAGGAAATTCTGCATCAAGCTATGTTGTATACTGATGTAACCTGAAAACAGACTGATTTTATTTGCAACAGTAATGTCCTGTGTAAAAAAATGTACAACTGTCCCCAGAGCTGTTGGAGGTCAGTTTTGTTTAGCTGCTTCTGAATCATATTTTCTGTCCTCAGATCTCTGTCCAGTTGGTGCACTAACATCAAAGCCTTATGCATTTACTGCCAGGCCATGGGAACTAAGGTATGTATTATTGAAACATGGATTGCAGCTGCTGTAAGTGGTTTTGTGCTTAGTGAAACGAGTACTACAATTTTAAGTGGCAGTTTCAAGAATTTTCCACAAGATCTATTCATTTTCTAGGTGTTTTCCTAAGAAAATTAGAGCTTAAATCTCCTTGTTTATCAGACTTAAAGAATTATCGGTAGTAGGTTTTGAATGTGTTTTCAATCCTCTGGTTTTCTCAATTAATAGATATTTAAGCTCAGCATTCTGTTGGTGGTTGAATATTATTTTAAATTACCTATAAAACAGGAAAACAGATTCAGTTGATGTTATGGATGCTGTTGGGAGCAATATTGTTGTAAATACAAGATGTGGTGAAGTTATGAGAGTCCTACCCAGGATGAATGAGGTTTGTCAGTGTTCATTACCGGTATTTTATACTCTGTATTTTAGTGTGTAAAGCACTGTCACACCTCCAATGAAGAACAAAATTTCATAACAGTTATTTTTATGAAAATTGTTCTATTGGGTTTTTGTGTGCCATCAAACATTTGCAAATTTAAGTTAAGTGTGCTCTGAAAATTAATGATTGGGCTGGTTTAGCAAACATGATTATGTTGCATTTTTTCGTGGAGTTTAATATTATGACAAAAATATAATGTTGTATGTTCAACAACAAAGACCAGAAAAAGTCAAAATACTGGTCATTTCTGAATGCATCTTTTAGCCATGAGCAATGAAAATTACAGTTGGGGCATTTCGTAGTAAATTTTTTTTGATTTTAGCCAATTTACCGTAGATTCAAGTGAGAATAATTTACATTAAATAACTAAAACAATTCATGTTTTTTCTCTTGTTGTACATTCTCCATTTGGCACGTACATTTGTCAAGTTGTTGAATAAACTCCTCATTTTGCTCTTGTATTCATTTATTTTTTTCTCTATAAAACGACGATCCCCTAAAAATAACGATTTAAAAAAGAAGAATTTTGATTTAAAAAGAAAAAATAATTACCTCTAATAATTATTACAAATTTTAATTATTAAAAATAAAAACAAATTACTCTTATAACTGACAGAATCATAATAATTATATTTCTCCAAATTCGTCAACATCCATTCACATCATAATGTTTAAATGAATTTTACTCTGCTTCACCATTATTGCAAGTCTGTTTTTAACATGGGTCTCATCATTTTAGAGCTATTGCGGGGTGTAAAACTGTGTTCTTTGACATTCAATAATTTGTTACGATAGCCTAGTGCAGAGGAGTCCTTTGCTGCTCTCATGATTGCATGTACAGTTAATTTTTATTTCAGTTAAGTTTAATTTTTTCATTGTTTTGAGGGACGGTAATGTATGCTAATGAATTTAACACAAAGGGAAAACAAAAATTAACTGAAATATCCACTGCAACATCCACTGTATCTGCCTGTACTTGTTTCTAGCTGAAACCAAAAATATCTTTTTGCCATTTTAGGATATTAATGAGGAATGGATTTCTGACAAAACTAGGTAAGAGACAGGATAGGTATTATTAACCCCAAAGGAAATTTCCTTTGAAGCCACAAAAAGGACTACTGGTTCCAAAATTGATAGAGCCGGCCAGCATTCTTTCAAGTTTAATGTGGCCTAAATTACATTTAGGCACATTTAAAAAAAAAACATTTTTTTGTGATATAAGATAATGATAGTGTTACACCCAAGATTCAGATTGTTTTACTTTACTGAAAATTGTTGTTTTGTATCAGATATTCCTATGATGGCCTGAAGCGTCAGCGCCTGACCAAACCAATGATGAAAGATGAATCAGGCAACCTCACACCCTGTACATGGGAGGAAGCACTGGTTGAAGTGGCTCAGAAAATGACTCATCTCAGTGGTAATGAAATAGCAGCAGTCGCTGGTGGGTTTGCAGATGCCGAGGCTCTTGTAGCTCTGAAAGATCTACTGAATAGTTATGACAGTGAAGGATTGTACACTGAAGAAGGATTTCCATCTGATGGCTCGGGGTAGGTAATGAAGCCTGAGAAAAGAGCCTACTTTTGGCGATGCTTAGCTACCACTAGTTTCACCGCAAAATGACGTCTGAGGAACAATTACAGCAATTCCATGCTGATGACGTGTGTGTACCCTGGCTGATCTGAGTAGTGCTTCTCATGGGTCGTGCTTCTGTACTTCATAATGCAGGAACTAGAACCCATGCTAATCCAAATCAGAAGAAAATTTCAACTATTGAATAAACTGCTCCCCTCTTCTTTCCACGTATCAAAAATAATTGTATTTCATTTGCCCCTCTTAACCCTTTAAGCCCCAATATCCACATATAAATTCTCCAAACTGATCTCCATACATTTCCTTTAAGAATTAGTTGAGAGAATTTGATAGCAGATTAAAGTAATTTCTCTTTAGTGATCATTTCATAAATTCTCATAAGCTAATCTCTTGACAAGGTATGAATATTGTTGGGAGAAAATTGGTGTTGGTCACCATTGGGACTGAGGAGGTTAAACCACTTATTTGCAAAATTAGTTTCTGAAAGCAACCAAACAAATTAACGGTTGTCACACCTGTTTTTATTCTTTTTTGTGTGTAATGGGCCATACATTGTATTTCTTTTTCAGAACTGACTTTAGATCCAGTTATATCATGAATACCACTATTGCAGGAATTGAGGTAGCATTTATTTTTCTTGTTGAATGCAGTACTAGAGTTATATTACATTTTCGTTCGTTACTGATTATACTTTGACTGTTCCACTATAAACAAAGAATTTACATGTAGTGTTTTTATCATAGATAGATAGAAAACTTTATTAATGTGTCGGAGCCACATAGCTTGGGAAAACCCCCTACTAATTTTGGGACACAATATATAATTATTGGAATTACGTGTACAATATAAACGTAAAAAGATTGGAGCTACGCATAATTTATTACAATCCAATGAGCATCTAAAGTGAGTAGTATTCGCTACAAGACTGAGGAGAATTTTAATATTAAATGATTATGAGGAGTAGAGAGAACAGTCTTTACATCCACCATCTATCGTTGACCTTACATCATTTTTACGAATTCTGCTTTTTAAAAAACGGGAATAAAAGGGATTTGCAGTTTCTTTGTCATAATTCTGTTTTACATTGAAGTCATGTCTCATTGTTTTGCTCATATTTTTCCAGGATGCGGATGTACTGTTAATAGTTGGTGCTAATCCCAGATATGAAGCTCCACTAGTGAATGCCCGCATCCGTAAAGGGTAAGTAAACAATTACATTTGTACTAAACACAGTCATGAAAGATCATCGCAGTTCAGTTATCTGCGCAACTTAAGAAGTTGCGAAAAGAGAGGCTGGAAAAAAATCAGGTTTGAACATGAACCCATGACTTGAACTGCATAATTGTTGTAGTGCCCCTACTACTGAGCTCTCAAGCCAACTCAAGGCTGGTCACTTTGCGAGTTTGTGATGTACCCCTAGAGAATGAAGACATGAAAGTTGCAAAACATACAATGAAACTGCAAGGTTATTCCACATATTTAAGCATATTATGTGGTTATATCAGTAGGTTGTTGTGTGGCAGGTAATTTCTTACAGTGCCAAAACAAACTGGTACTGGTTAAGAACTGCCGCTTTGATCTTAGAAGAAATCACGAACCATCTTCCCAATCATTTCTCTGTCTTCTTATTTCTCCTTGTAGATGGATGCATAATGACCTTCAAGTAGGACTTGTTGGTACCAAGGTCGATCTTACCTACACTTATGAGGTAAACCTAAGTTGTCTCTGTATTTTTAATATTAAACAACGGGAAACAGAATTAACTGTTTTCCTTGAGAACAATCTTTAAGTGATTTGTTGTTGCTATTATCTCCGCTTGTTTTCTTTCCAGCATCTTGGAGATTCGGCCAGTGTCCTGAAAGAGATCGTATCTGGAAGCCATGCATTCTCAAAGGTATCTGTTATAACACTGGGTTTGCATTACCGAATAAAAATAGCTTTTTCCAGCCTTGGCAGTGCATTTGCTCCAAATTAATTCCATTACTTGAATGTTCTTAGTTGGTATTCGGCAAATCTGTAGCCTGTAGTCCAGGCTTTTTTTTTCGGTGGTCGACGTGGGGAGTACTATTCTTCGCTCATGGTTGTGGCGCTTTCTACAGGTGTTGGCAAATGCTGAACGTCCCATGATACTTGTGGGAAACACTGTTCTTCAAGGACATGACGGTGCTGCTGTTCATCAAATAGCCGCTGACATGTCTCTCCAGCTGAAGAAATCGAAGAAAGTTGAAAAGGACTGGAAGGTTCTTAATGTGTTACACAGGGTAGGTCACCTCTAAGCCTGTTTATTTTTATCATTGATTTCCTCTATCAAAGAATGTGACTCCTAATAATTATCATTTCTAGACGTAAATACACACAAAGAGATGAATGGAATGGAACTGAATGGAACAAACTTCCAGAAGAAACTGTTTCCAGCCAATCCCTCTGTATTTTTAAAAGCAAACTAATTTAGTTTTATTTTTATCAGTAGTTTTTAATAGTTTTTAATAGTTTTGTATATTTTAGTATAGTTTTATTTATTATTATCTTAGAGTTGGCGTGATGTCCCAAACGATTTTGCCGACATAACGATATTTAGATTTTTAGATTTAGATGACAATTGGCCTATTTAGCACCAATTCCTAACAACATTTTGCAAAGCGCATTGTAAAACATACGGCACTACAGTTCGAGTGGCTACCTCCTTCTCAGGCGCTTCGGTTTTCGGCGAGCGCGAAACGGGGGTTACTGGTGATGAAGCGCAATGAATCATGTGAAGGAGAAAGAAGAGAGGCCGTTTTCTCTTTCCCGTTTTCATTTGCGCGCGCAAATTTTCATCGACAAGGAGACGTCTGGGTGCGAGTCAGGTACAAGTTGCATTTGGGTGTTGAAGTGGTGAGTGTACCTACAATGTTTGATGACTTTTGTTGGTTATGTTGATGTCAGGTTGCAAGTCAAGTGGCAGCTCTGGATCTCGGATACAAGCCAGGAGTCGACAAAATGGCAGAGAAACCCAAGTTGCTGTTCCTGCTTGGGGCTGTAAGTTTTCTCATCATGGGTATACATAAAGCCCAATTAAGTATAGATTTCCCTCCTGACCAAAACACACGTGGATCCATTACCTGCATGTGAATTCATTTTTTTATGGGTTACCGTTTAAAATCCTATCCCATCATGCCTTTGCCTTCCCGATTTCTGAACGCAAACATCGCTGACAAAGGAGATTTTTGGCTTTTTAGCTGTAAGTACTTTGAGCATTTCTTGCCTCGCTCAAACAGCTCGAAATGTTTCGCGGTATTTTACACTGCAGTAGTTTTTGCTGTCGCTAATGTGTCAACGAGGCCTAGGATGGCTTGTAAAATTCGTTATAAATACTTCTTAGTCTTCAATTTCGTATTTCACAATCTGCAGTGTTTTCAACAGTTTTTGAAGTAGGAGTTGCGTTTATTTGAGTAGGAGTTGCAAGGCCCGGAGGGCCTTGCTCTCTAGGGGGGTCTGGGGGCATGCCCCCCCCAGGAAATTTTGAATTTCTAGACTCTTGGAGGCGCATTTTCCCGCATTTTGAGACGCAGAACTAGAAAATTTTAGATATCGAAAATACTGATAAATTTTGATGCTTTTAGTAACTTTATTAACCACAATATTAGGGTACGCTTTAACCACATTATTACCTGCAGCATCCTTTTTCTTTTTCTTGTTTGTCACTGTCAGCGACCACATCTCCCGTAAACCACGCTGTCGCTTTTCTGCCATTTTGCCGTGTTCTTGGAGACGAAATGTGGCGTTTTATACAGAGTCGCTTCAGAAACCGCTAACTACAATGTTCCCTGTAACTGAGACCCAGTCTTCGACTCGTCCTCAACGTTTACTCAACGTATTACGCAGAGAACGTATTTTAAAAGCAGACTCAAGATGTTTTGGCGAAATTCTCCAGAAAAATTTCAAGTTTGCTTGCTCGCAACAGCTTTGTGAACACTTACCACTTTTTATCAAAAGTTTTATTTGTCATATAATTTACCTAAGGGAAAGTAGGCGTCGCAAATCAAAAAGTTGCCGTCGGATGCGACGGCCGACGGCTGATTTTGAAAACACTGTAATCTGCATTGTGATTGGCTGCATAGGAACTGAGCAAGTTACTTGATTACACAGATTTATCGTACTGTTAGTTTTAGTTATTCCTTTCATCTTTAAAAAGGCAGGCTCTTTGGCAATCAAGCAGCGCTTGGCTTAAAGGGTAGATCAAAATAATCTTCCCCTCGTTGATGAAGATTTATGTATTTTTATTGACTTGATGCGAAAGCGTCGTTAATTAATAAATGGAGATGTATCAAATAACTTGTCTTTGTTTTCAACAGGATGCTGGTCTGGTGAAACGTGAAGATCTTCCTAAGGACTGCTTTATTGTTTATCAAGGTATGTACTGTATCTTCTGCACTGTATGATAACCAACCTTCTTACGTGTGCGTGCGTCTTTTGAGCTGAGTTGTCCTCTGTAGGTCACCATGGCGACCATGGAGCACACATGGCTGACGTCATACTTCCTGGTGCAGCGTACACAGAAAAGACAGCAACTTACGTTAACACAGAGGGGCGGGCCCAGCAGACTAGAAGGGCTGTGACGCCACCCGTGTACGCGAGAGATGACTGGAAGATCATCAGAGCACTATCAGAGGTGAGCTACTATTAACGGTACTGATCGCCAATAGATCTTTTCTTTAAAAAAGGAACATGTAAACGTGGTGAAACAAATATATGATCATGTTAGAATGAAAGAAGGAGGAACTTTCCTAATTAACGTAAGGTAAATTTGAAGGATTTGTGTGTTAATTTCTCGTTGCATTGATTTTGTTCACCAACAGATTGCAGGTTATTCCCTTCCTTACGATAACCTGGAAGAAATCAGGCGAAGACTTTCCGAAGTTTCTCCGAACTTGACTCGATATGGTGACGTGGAGGAGGCCAACTTCTTCAACTTGGCCCTGGGATTGATGCAGGTAAAAGCCATTTAGATGAATCAAAACTTACAAAAGTTCATCATGATCCTTTATACATTATCTAGCTAATTGAAATAATAAATTCAGCAGATTCCGAGGTAAAAAAAAAATTATTTTCTTTGTTGGTTAATTATCAACAAACCCCAGCCCAACCTCTATCCAGGTACACTTGCCTTGGTCCCGAGGGTGTTCCCTGAAGAAAGGTTTTACTGTAGTTACCTTTAAAAGTCTAATAATGATAATAATAATGCATGATAGACTGCTTCAGAGGTGAATGGTTTTTAAAATTCAAGACATTTCATCTGTAGTCACTGTCCAACCTTTTGAGTACGTAAAATCGGGATATTTTTTATTAGTGAAATCCAACTGGTGGTCTATTATCAATGCTGGGTTCTGATTGGTTGAGCTACTACTAGCCCACTGGTAGCAAAAAGCGCCGGCTTTAAAAACCACAACAATGGCTTTAAGTCTAGCTTTAAATTGCGAAAGTTGTTTTGTCTCGATATTTTTGACCAACTAGCTGGATTTTACTAAAACAATTATTCCTCTTGCCCTCATGACCTCTGAGTCAATAGTCCATTCGGGCTCGTGGAATAATTGTTAAATAACCGTCGAATCACGTGAGCGCGGAGGGTGCGAGCCGCAAGGGGTCTGGAAGCATGCTACCGTGGAAAATTTATTGCGTTCTGAGAGGGTGATTCTTTCTAAAATGTTCGCCAAATTAATTGTTATTTTTATGCCTATTTTTATTCGCATGTTTTTACATACTAGTACTTGATTTTGTTTTATATCTCAGGCGGTACATTTAAGTTTTCTGTATATCAACCGCGTTAAGTACACTCTGTTACGTGTTCTTATGTATTTACCAAAACTGATGTGAAATTCGGGATTTTGTCTATCCCGATCGCATATTGTTCGGGATTCGGAATTTTTGAGCAAAATCGGGAGAATTCCGACGAGATCGGGATGGTTGGACAGTCTTTTAATAGTAAACACTTCTGTATTCTTACAATTGCCTTCATTTCCGTTCATCTGTAGAGCTCCAAAGCCCAGCTACCGAAGAGCCCGCTGCAGCCCAGTATTCTGGAACTAAAGGATTTCTACATGACAGACGCCATCAGTCGTGCTTCTCAGACCATGGCCAAATGCGTGAACGCAGTAAAAACTATGAAATAAGACTATCATCTATTGAAGTTCTGATCGATTCAGTTGTAAATAGGTCGTTCATGGAAGCCATTTTGATACAGAGATGATTGCTGATTGACAAGTTTGGCTTTTCTTTGAATTAGAATGGCATTCTTGAGGACTTTGGAGATAAATTTATGCTTAAATTCGAGAGGTAAACTAACAAAATGCCTAGTGCAGATAAAAGGGACCTTAAGCAAGGAGAACGACGACGGCAGTGGAAACGTCGGTAAAAAAATGAATTTGCGTTCTTTCAAACTTAATCGCGTCTATTTGGGCCCGCTCAATATGTAAAATGCAGGCGACTTTTCCTGGTGTTGAATTCTTAAGGATTTTATTCAGGTTCAAATAGAGGAAGGAAAATTCGTCGTCGTATGTCCACGTCCTCCATAAAACGTCAAATTAGGAGGTTTCAAGTCGCAGTGGACGTCAAAAAAATGTACTAAAAAGCGTGATACACGCGCAGAGTTGTTGTTTTGATCATTAAAACTATTGTCTTTTTGAAGTCGTCGTTGTGGTCGTCGTCGTATTGGCCTAAGCTCCGTAAAAAGAGAAGAAAACATCGTCAAAAAATTTCTGGCAGTTACTTAAAAATAACAAGACCAAGCTTTCATTAACAAAATTTCTCAACTTAAAGACCGACAACGGAGACATTTGAGAACCTACCTTCCTAGAGTAGAAATAGTTTATAAGATGGAAGGAAGTATTTGGTAGTTATGAAGTGGATGGACGCAATCTTAAATACTGTATCTGTCAGATTATTTTTGTATAGTTTCACTCGTTTATCGAGTGATGGTTTCAGTATGTAATAAAATTGTTTTTAAGTGAATGAATGCAAAGCAGTCTCTGTGCTCATTTTTACCGTTTTTTGCGTTCATTCGTTGGACATTCGGCTTTCGTGCGAAGAGTTAACGCTGGGAGGTGGGATTAGTCGACTCGCTTGCGTTAACAGGGGCAGTTAGTCGGGACGATAGAATGTTCGTAGCGAACGTTTACTATAAGATCGAGATCTTATATTAAACTTTCGCCACAAACATTCTATCGTCTTGACTAACTGTCCCTGGGTCCCCGAGGATGGTGTGACCACGGTCTAGTTTATTTGTCGAACTCTGCACTAGATTGGCTGGCCTGGCCTGAATTTCAGACGATTACTTCCAGCCCTCGAAGTAATGGTCTGAAATTCAGGCTATGGATGTCCGTGTAGTGGCCGGTCTCGGTCACCCATTCTCGTCCCCAGTACCCATAGGTTTTTTGGTCACGTGGTCATAAAATCTAGTGGCTCTGGGGACTGCACTGACCTTGCTGTAATGGTCCACGTTCGAATTTTAAAGTGACTCCGAGGCTTTATTTATGGTCTAATTGCAAATTTTTTAGGACTCCATTGTCTCCCAATTCCCAGAAGAGAATTGAACATTCATATGGGCCCAGTAGTACAGTTGTTCCATAGGCGGATAACACTGTCCACTGGATAAATCTCTGTCCCATGGATAGCGCAATTTATTCGTCAATTCTTATCCGCTCGATAGTGATTTCTCCGGTGAGTAGCGTCACCCAACGATGGAGCCAATCAAGCCGGGGCCTGTCTGATAAAATTTCACGCTGGCAATAAAAAGAAAAGTTTCTCGCTGCCGCTACTAAAGCTTCGAAAGACCAGCCTCGCGCTCATGATGACTTGAATGACAGGAATGTAGTTGTGACTCTACCCCTATGTGGCACTACCAAAGCAAAATGAAGTTTTCGTTATTAGGAATAAATTGTTTCTTTTACTTCTTTCTAGTAAAGTTTCTCCTGGATACTTTGAAGTATGAAATTTAGTATTTTGTTAATTGTTTTATCATTCTGAGAGCTTTTGTTGCGCGCGCGTTATTAATTTCAATGAGAATGGCACATGCGTGCATTTCATTGCGTCACAATACAACACGAATTTGGCGTAGCGCCTTGGTGATTCATGGGTTTCAAGATTGATGTTTCAACCATCATTGCCAATGTAGTTCTTAACGCAACATTTTGCCTGGCTACTTGGCGGGTTGCCAAAATGTGAACATCAAACTGATAATGATATTTTTTGTCTAAGACGAGGCAAATTTAGAACTTGACCTTGAAACCTGAAGGGGAAATATGGCTCCCGGCCAAAGAGACATCAATGACACTCGCTGTCCTGGGTGTGGTCTGATAAGACCATGTCCTTGCGATGCGGAAAAGAACATTCATGGAACAGAGCCGCAGGGAAGGGGCCTTGGAGAGCCGATTATAATTCTGAACAACCGAAGAAAATCATCAGTGAGGAGACATTCGTATCCAGCACCGGGTAAGATAAAATCATGCGTATACCTTTGACTTTCTCCGTTTTCCAAATCGGGACAGAGCTTATACCGGAGCAACTACAGAATACAGGGCCGTATTTTAAGGTCCTAAACAGAATTGGTTCGGTGGCTCGCTAGTCAAGACAAGTGTTTAAGGAACGCGAAAGATGTAAAACATGTAAGTACAAACAGACATTAAAAAGACGCAAATTTTAAGAGCAAGTAAAGGCATATATTTAAGTAGCTCGGCGGCTCGGTGGTTCCTTAGTTGAGGTTATATAGTTGAGTGGCTCGACGGCTCGATGGCTCGTCAGTCAGGACTACATACCGAGCCGCCGAGCTGCCCCAACGAATATACCTAGAAAATTTGCACTGTATTCTGTAGTTATATACCCGCTTTTGGACCATCTACGAGAAATTTCTACTATAACGTTAAGTTTCATAACTAATGAAGACGCCTAATTAACATCATTGGCACAGTGAACTAGACATGCGTGGAACAGCCCCTCATAACAGGTTACACCTTAAAATTGCAGTTTTGTTTGAAATGTATCCCCAGGTCTCCACGACAAAGGAGAGGAAGGCGAAGCACGGGGTCGCCCGTCGGCTGACCAACAGTCCACCATCGAGACGCTAACAAGGCATGCTGATCTTCAATCAAGGTTAACATCGGCTTCTAAGGGCGGGAGGGCATTATCTTACCTCAGAGACATCTTCGCGGCTAATCCAGACAACAAGATGGCGCTTAAGCTCTTTGGAAACAAATCTTTGTGAACACTTACCACTTTTTATCAAAAGTTTTATTTGTCATATAATTTACCTAAGGGAAAGTAGGCGTCGCAAATCAAAAAGTTGCCGTCGGATGCGACGGCCGACGGCTGATTTTGAAAACACTGTAATCTGCATTGTGATTGGCTGCATAGGAACTGAGCAAGTTACTTGATTACACAGATTTATCGTACTGTTAGTTTTAGTTATTCCTTTCATCTTTAAAAAGGCAGGCTCTTTGGCAATCAAGCAGCGCTTGGCTTAAAGGGTAGATCAAAATAATCTTCCCCTCGTTGATGAAGATTTATGTATTTTTATTGACTTGATGCGAAAGCGTCGTTAATTAATAAATGGAGATGTATCAAATAACTTGTCTTTGTTTTCAACAGGATGCTGGTCTGGTGAAACGTGAAGATCTTCCTAAGGACTGCTTTATTGTTTATCAAGGTATGTACTGTATCTTCTGCACTGTATGATAACCAACCTTCTTACGTGTGCGTGCGTCTTTTGAGCTGAGTTGTCCTCTGTAGGTCACCATGGCGACCATGGAGCACACATGGCTGACGTCATACTTCCTGGTGCAGCGTACACAGAAAAGACAGCAACTTACGTTAACACAGAGGGGCGGGCCCAGCAGACTAGAAGGGCTGTGACGCCACCCGTGTACGCGAGAGATGACTGGAAGATCATCAGAGCACTATCAGAGGTGAGCTACTATTAACGGTACTGATCGCCAATAGATCTTTTCTTTAAAAAAGGAACATGTAAACGTGGTGAAACAAATATATGATCATGTTAGAATGAAAGAAGGAGGAACTTTCCTAATTAACGTAAGGTAAATTTGAAGGATTTGTGTGTTAATTTCTCGTTGCATTGATTTTGTTCACCAACAGATTGCAGGTTATTCCCTTCCTTACGATAACCTGGAAGAAATCAGGCGAAGACTTTCCGAAGTTTCTCCGAACTTGACTCGATATGGTGACGTGGAGGAGGCCAACTTCTTCAACTTGGCCCTGGGATTGATGCAGGTAAAAGCCATTTAGATGAATCAAAACTTACAAAAGTTCATCATGATCCTTTATACATTATCTAGCTAATTGAAATAATAAATTCAGCAGATTCCGAGGTAAAAAAAAAATTATTTTCTTTGTTGGTTAATTATCAACAAACCCCAGCCCAACCTCTATCCAGGTACACTTGCCTTGGTCCCGAGGGTGTTCCCTGAAGAAAGGTTTTACTGTAGTTACCTTTAAAAGTCTAATAATGATAATAATAATGCATGATAGACTGCTTCAGAGGTGAATGGTTTTTAAAATTCAAGACATTTCATCTGTAGTCACTGTCCAACCTTTTGAGTACGTAAAATCGGGATATTTTTTATTAGTGAAATCCAACTGGTGGTCTATTATCAATGCTGGGTTCTGATTGGTTGAGCTACTACTAGCCCACTGGTAGCAAAAAGCGCCGGCTTTAAAAACCACAACAATGGCTTTAAGTCTAGCTTTAAATTGCGAAAGTTGTTTTGTCTCGATATTTTTGACCAACTAGCTGGATTTTACTAAAACAATTATTCCTCTTGCCCTCATGACCTCTGAGTCAATAGTCCATTCGGGCTCGTGGAATAATTGTTAAATAACCGTCGAATCACGTGAGCGCGGAGGGTGCGAGCCGCAAGGGGTCTGGAAGCATGCTACCGTGGAAAATTTATTGCGTTCTGAGAGGGTGATTCTTTCTAAAATGTTCGCCAAATTAATTGTTATTTTTATGCCTATTTTTATTCGCATGTTTTTACATACTAGTACTTGATTTTGTTTTATATCTCAGGCGGTACATTTAAGTTTTCTGTATATCAACCGCGTTAAGTACACTCTGTTACGTGTTCTTATGTATTTACCAAAACTGATGTGAAATTCGGGATTTTGTCTATCCCGATCGCATATTGTTCGGGATTCGGAATTTTTGAGCAAAATCGGGAGAATTCCGACGAGATCGGGATGGTTGGACAGTCTTTTAATAGTAAACACTTCTGTATTCTTACAATTGCCTTCATTTCCGTTCATCTGTAGAGCTCCAAAGCCCAGCTACCGAAGAGCCCGCTGCAGCCCAGTATTCTGGAACTAAAGGATTTCTACATGACAGACGCCATCAGTCGTGCTTCTCAGACCATGGCCAAATGCGTGAACGCAGTAAAAACTATGAAATAAGACTATCATCTATTGAAGTTCTGATCGATTCAGTTGTAAATAGGTCGTTCATGGAAGCCATTTTGATACAGAGATGATTGCTGATTGACAAGTTTGGCTTTTCTTTGAATTAGAATGGCATTCTTGAGGACTTTGGAGATAAATTTATGCTTAAATTCGAGAGGTAAACTAACAAAATGCCTAGTGCAGATAAAAGGGACCTTAAGCAAGGAGAACGACGACGGCAGTGGAAACGTCGGTAAAAAAATGAATTTGCGTTCTTTCAAACTTAATCGCGTCTATTTGGGCCCGCTCAATATGTAAAATGCAGGCGACTTTTCCTGGTGTTGAATTCTTAAGGATTTTATTCAGGTTCAAATAGAGGAAGGAAAATTCGTCGTCGTATGTCCACGTCCTCCATAAAACGTCAAATTAGGAGGTTTCAAGTCGCAGTGGACGTCAAAAAAATGTACTAAAAAGCGTGATACACGCGCAGAGTTGTTGTTTTGATCATTAAAACTATTGTCTTTTTGAAGTCGTCGTTGTGGTCGTCGTCGTATTGGCCTAAGCTCCGTAAAAAGAGAAGAAAACATCGTCAAAAAATTTCTGGCAGTTACTTAAAAATAACAAGACCAAGCTTTCATTAACAAAATTTCTCAACTTAAAGACCGACAACGGAGACATTTGAGAACCTACCTTCCTAGAGTAGAAATAGTTTATAAGATGGAAGGAAGTATTTGGTAGTTATGAAGTGGATGGACGCAATCTTAAATACTGTATCTGTCAGATTATTTTTGTATAGTTTCACTCGTTTATCGAGTGATGGTTTCAGTATGTAATAAAATTGTTTTTAAGTGAATGAATGCAAAGCAGTCTCTGTGCTCATTTTTACCGTTTTTTGCGTTCATTCGTTGGACATTCGGCTTTCGTGCGAAGAGTTAACGCTGGGAGGTGGGATTAGTCGACTCGCTTGCGTTAACAGGGGCAGTTAGTCGGGACGATAGAATGTTCGTAGCGAACGTTTACTATAAGATCGAGATCTTATATTAAACTTTCGCCACAAACATTCTATCGTCTTGACTAACTGTCCCTGGGTCCCCGAGGATGGTGTGACCACGGTCTAGTTTATTTGTCGAACTCTGCACTAGATTGGCTGGCCTGGCCTGAATTTCAGACGATTACTTCCAGCCCTCGAAGTAATGGTCTGAAATTCAGGCTATGGATGTCCGTGTAGTGGCCGGTCTCGGTCACCCATTCTCGTCCCCAGTACCCATAGGTTTTTTGGTCACGTGGTCATAAAATCTAGTGGCTCTGGGGACTGCACTGACCTTGCTGTAATGGTCCACGTTCGAATTTTAAAGTGACTCCGAGGCTTTATTTATGGTCTAATTGCAAATTTTTTAGGACTCCATTGTCTCCCAATTCCCAGAAGAGAATTGAACATTCATATGGGCCCAGTAGTACAGTTGTTCCATAGGCGGATAACACTGTCCACTGGATAAATCTCTGTCCCATGGATAGCGCAATTTATTCGTCAATTCTTATCCGCTCGATAGTGATTTCTCCGGTGAGTAGCGTCACCCAACGATGGAGCCAATCAAGCCGGGGCCTGTCTGATAAAATTTCACGCTGGCAATAAAAAGAAAAGTTTCTCGCTGCCGCTACTAAAGCTTCGAAAGACCAGCCTCGCGCTCATGATGACTTGAATGACAGGAATGTAGTTGTGACTCTACCCCTATGTGGCACTACCAAAGCAAAATGAAGTTTTCGTTATTAGGAATAAATTGTTTCTTTTACTTCTTTCTAGTAAAGTTTCTCCTGGATACTTTGAAGTATGAAATTTAGTATTTTGTTAATTGTTTTATCATTCTGAGAGCTTTTGTTGCGCGCGCGTTATTAATTTCAATGAGAATGGCACATGCGTGCATTTCATTGCGTCACAATACAACACGAATTTGGCGTAGCGCCTTGGTGATTCATGGGTTTCAAGATTGATGTTTCAACCATCATTGCCAATGTAGTTCTTAACGCAACATTTTGCCTGGCTACTTGGCGGGTTGCCAAAATGTGAACATCAAACTGATAATGATATTTTTTGTCTAAGACGAGGCAAATTTAGAACTTGACCTTGAAACCTGAAGGGGAAATATGGCTCCCGGCCAAAGAGACATCAATGACACTCGCTGTCCTGGGTGTGGTCTGATAAGACCATGTCCTTGCGATGCGGAAAAGAACATTCATGGAACAGAGCCGCAGGGAAGGGGCCTTGGAGAGCCGATTATAATTCTGAACAACCGAAGAAAATCATCAGTGAGGAGACATTCGTATCCAGCACCGGGTAAGATAAAATCATGCGTATACCTTTGACTTTCTCCGTTTTCCAAATCGGGACAGAGCTTATACCGGAGCAACTACAGAATACAGGGCCGTATTTTAAGGTCCTAAACAGAATTGGTTCGGTGGCTCGCTAGTCAAGACAAGTGTTTAAGGAACGCGAAAGATGTAAAACATGTAAGTACAAACAGACATTAAAAAGACGCAAATTTTAAGAGCAAGTAAAGGCATATATTTAAGTAGCTCGGCGGCTCGGTGGTTCCTTAGTTGAGGTTATATAGTTGAGTGGCTCGACGGCTCGATGGCTCGTCAGTCAGGACTACATACCGAGCCGCCGAGCTGCCCCAACGAATATACCTAGAAAATTTGCACTGTATTCTGTAGTTATATACCCGCTTTTGGACCATCTACGAGAAATTTCTACTATAACGTTAAGTTTCATAACTAATGAAGACGCCTAATTAACATCATTGGCACAGTGAACTAGACATGCGTGGAACAGCCCCTCATAACAGGTTACACCTTAAAATTGCAGTTTTGTTTGAAATGTATCCCCAGGTCTCCACGACAAAGGAGAGGAAGGCGAAGCACGGGGTCGCCCGTCGGCTGACCAACAGTCCACCATCGAGACGCTAACAAGGCATGCTGATCTTCAATCAAGGTTAACATCGGCTTCTAAGGGCGGGAGGGCATTATCTTACCTCAGAGACATCTTCGCGGCTAATCCAGACAACAAGATGGCGCTTAAGCTCTTTGGAAACAAAGCTGCTGTACTCTTAGAACAACGTCGACAGGAGCAGAAAGGCAAAGGTGTAATTCATCCTTTCAGTACCTTCCGGTGGTATTGGGACATATTGCTTATAGCCTTCATCTCTATGCATGTGATTTTACTTCCGGTCAGCATCTCGTTTCTAAGCGATGACTTATCCCTGCACTGGCTCATCCTCAACGGAATTTCGGACTGTATTTTTATCATAGACATTTGCTTGAATTTCAAAACTGGAATCGTCGATCCTAACAACCAAGAGGAAATTATATTAGACAAGAAAATTATAGCTCAGAAATATCTACGGGGCTGGTTTGTCATCGATTTGTTGTCTTCACTTCCATTCGACTATGCTTATTTCATTGCCTCTTCATCTTCTGCTCAGCAAACTCTCATCAAGGCATCGCGGGCTCTTCGCATCCTCAAACTTGCTAAGTTGCTGAGTCTGTTGCGACTGTTACGGGTCTCAAGACTCGTTCGGTACATTAAACGATTTGAAGAGGTGAGTATCGCATGAGCTAAATCATCTACAGAATAGAATAAAAATAATATAAAAAACCGACAGAGCACTGTACTTGCATGTTATTAATTTGCACTTACTGTTGTTTAACAGAAAGGTTATACTGTTCACAGTCTCCAATTTTTTCGTAAGGTCGTCAGAATCAAGCGCTTATTGATACGAGCGGCCACCTTGCAGTTCCATATGCCCGTTACGCAATGTTTTTGATCTCCGCGATCTTAAGGAAAGATAGGCAACTCTGAACAGTCTACAGAGAAGGAATCGCAGGGCGTTGGCCGGGACAAGTGATTTTCTCTGAAGTTTAAATGCTTGTCCTTGATAGTGGGAAGTGCGCTTAGTTCCATTATTCACTCTTGTGTTTAATCATTGAATCTGCTTGACAGTCATTTAGAAGGCTAAAATCTCATATCCTTAAACAAAAAATTAAATGAATCAAGACGTTAAGAGCATGAATTCAATGACTCATTGACAAAAGAATTTTATCCCACCATTATTGTAGCCCCTAAGCCATACGTTTTCCTTCGGCGATGGCCACGATGGAGATTACTATGCAGAAGTCGTTTACTATAATGATATAGTACTAAAAACCCTTGAATGCAGAGATCCACTCAAGGCATAAATAAAACCGACTTGTTCCATCTTGCTGGATCTTAATGTAGCGATACTAGGGCTAGACGTCACTTGAGGTGGGAATTAAAACGAAGCTAAATGTAAAGTTGGCAATACGGCAAAGGGCTCATTTATTTGGGGCCAATATTACGGCTAAATTAGCCTCCCTCTGGGCCAGAGCTACACTGAAAGAAAATACCATAACCGCTCCTAAAATTATAGTTTAAATTTAAAAAAGGGGTTAATGATAAACTAAAGGTGAGAACAATAGATAGCATGGTAGATAGTATTTTCCTTCAGTGTGGCTCTGGCCCTGAGGAATGCTTATTTTGTTAGCCGAAATATTGGCCTCAAATGAACTAGCCCTTTGCCGTATAGGTGGTTTTCACGTTACGTCATCGCCGCCATGCTGGTGGACGGTAAACAAAAGATCGCTCATTAGCTCGCTTTGTTTGTCCACCAGCATTTGTTCATTTCACCATTGTTATTTGTGTCTCCCGAGATTGCATGAAATCCACCTATTGCCAGCCTTGCATTCAGTTTTGTCCTAATATAGTACTTCTTGCTTCATCTCTTTTCCTTTTCAGTTGCTTAACATTGCCGCTGGCCAGCTTCGTATTTTGAAGCTGATTGGATGCATGCTGTTGTTATCTCATTGGAATGGCTGTGTTCAGTTTCTCGTACCATACCTACTAGAATTCCCAGAAAACAGTTGGGTCGTAATCAACCTGTTGCAGGTACCGATAAGCTGTCGCCTCATACACTCATTAGGGCCATTTATACGAGGAAAAATAAGACGCGAACTTTCCGTATAAACGGCACATTTCGTCTAAAATAAGACGCATACGCGGCTTAGCTAAGACGCGTCTTACTAGATAAGACATGCTCGTATAAATGGTACAGTTCGCGTCTTATTTAAGACGCGTCTTATTTTTCCTCGTGTAAATGGCCCTATTGTTTGCTCTTCTTTAACGATGGGTTTTAAGAAACTAAGAAAATTGTTTTCAAACGTTTTCTGAAATAATTATTTTTAGGGGTTGTAACTAAACAGAAGTCTAATTCCTGAGACGTTCGAACATTTAGTCGATTGTGAAAGGTTTGAACCCTGGAGTCACTTCAAAAGTAGGTTGAGTTTGATCGTGCGGGTGAACGTAGTCCTGAATAGGACTCACGGTTGTTGTTGACAGTGACTGACGTTTCGACAACCTGTGCGATAGTCATCTTCAGAGTCAAAGTGAGTTGTATCACCGCTGTTGATGGTATTATACTCTGGTTATTGATCTGATTGGTCAATTATGTCGCGATGTTATTGGTCGTCTGTCAGTTAAGCCGTGATGTTATTGGCTATGGAGACTCATAATCAGTAATTGGTGCGTTTCGATCCGCCTATTGTCACAGTGAAACAGTTGTCTATTGTTATAGCCGTATTATAGCCGATTAATCGATTGTTTGAAACGACATCAAGCTGGTGTACGCCGGACCCGGGACGCGGGACCGCCTCAAAGCAAGCAATTAAGGATATTGTTACGACGAACTGTTGAATTCTCTTCCGAAAACGCTGAATAGAAGTTTACGGACCTCTCTAGAAACCAACTTTTGGGTAATTACAAGCGTTTTATTGGTCTAAAAGTAATTTTGGTAAAATTCACATATCTCTAGGGCTGGTCTGGGCGTTTCCGTCTCTGTTCCATTAAGGCTGATACACACGAGGGGTTTTGCTCCCTGAGCATGCTCCAGGCTCATTTTGCACGTGTCAGTACACACGAGGGAGCGTTTTCAAGTTCCCTCAATTTGCTCCGGGAGCTTGCTCCCAAATATTTAACCGGTTAAATATCGTGGAGCATTTTGCGGGGTGGAAATTCTGCTCCCGAGGATGAAGTATACCCATGAAATCGTTGGTACACACGGAGCAGCTTTGCTCCCGGAGCGTGCCCCTGGAGCATGCTCCGGGAGCAAAACCCCTCGTGTGTATCGGCCTTTTAGGGACTTAAAGATGCCACGACAGCGACGACAACGAGAATGTCAAAAAAGCAATAGGTTGGATAGGCAAAACAACAACTCTGCACGTGCATCAGGCTTTTTGTAGATTTCTTTGCCGTCACTGCACGACTACGACGGGAAAAAGTCTAATATCACGTCTTGTGGAGGACGTATCCCTGGAGGACGTACACAAGCTACGGCTAAATTTTCATTTTCTTTCTCTTTCTGAACTTGAATATGGTTCTTAGGAATTCCGCTCAAAGAGAGTTCGCTTGCATTTGACAAAGTAAATGAGTTATAGTAATCGAGATAGAGATTAAAAGAACGTAAATCACTTTTTAAGCAACGTTTCCGTGGCCGTCACCGTCGTGTTATCTTCAGCGCCCTAATATTTCTATAGGAAGTGACATACTGAAAATGAAGAAATGATCGTCACAGTGAACGCAATTTATGCAACTGCGTAAAGAAGCCTGAAGAAAAAAATGCAGGACTTCAACAGGGTATGAACCCGTGACCTCGCGATTACCAGTGCGATGCTCTACCAACTGAGCTATGAAGCCACCGACGTTGGGAGCAGGTCAATTGCGGGACGTGACATACTGTTTTCTCATTTTCTTTTAGGACAGCCCTCCTGCTGAACAGTACAGCTGGGCTTTGTTCAATGCCATGTCCCATATGCTATGTATTGGTTACGGGCGATACCCGCCTCAGGCACTTACTGAACTCTGGCTTACGCTGTGCAGTATGACCATAGGCGCGACCTTTTATGCTGTGTTCATTGGTATTATGTCCAGTTTGATCATGTCTATTGATTCATCGGGGAGGCTTTACAATGAAAAGGTAACGCGACTGCTGTTGAAACCCAAGTAATTGTACTCAGCATATTAGTATAAGCAGAAACTTGGACACCACAGCAGTCACCGAAATAATCGTAGGATAATGCCTCAATTACAGCAGAACTTAAGCAAGTTTAAAATCTGTTTTGTGAAACGAAGTCTTTAATTGTGAAGATGAAATAATCAGCAAGTCACGAGTGTGGGACAAAGAAAAAATCAGAGTCCCCGACAGGATTCGAACCTATGACCTCCCAAACACCGGGCGGACGCTCTATCCACTGAGCTACGGAGAACTCATGGAGAGCGAGACCAAAAACTGTCTAGTTTCATAATTGATACGCGTACTGCATGCTGCTAGGATCAGCAATGTCGAGATCGTACTGTATGGTGAAAGAATGAAAGACTGTACATTTAAAGCTCGGTGAAACAAATGTGAAGATGAAATAATCAGCATGTCACGAGCGTGGGACAAACAAAAAAAATCTGAATCCCCGACAGGATTTGTGACAAATAAAAGAACCCGAATCCTGTGTTTAAGTCAGCCTCCGACTTTTCTTTTCTGTCAAGAGACATTCACGTTGTAAAGCTGGTTTGATGAAACATTTTAAGACAATGAAATATCATCCCAATTATGTACGCAACTTGAGGAGGCGTTGCGTGAAGAAAGCCTGAAAAATAAGTCAGGACTGAACGGGATTCCAACCCATGAGCTCTATGATAACGGTGCAGTGCTCTTACCACTGAGTTATCAAGCCAATTGGAAGCTGATTGCTTGATGAGTTCGCAAAAATCTCTAAAGTAGAGCTGGTAGGAATACATAATTCATCCCACCGTTTAAATATATGACATTTCATATATTCACTGAAAAAATGTTTTGTCGGTGTGAATGGCGATTATGCCTTCCTCTGAAATCCTGAAAACATTTGTAACTCGCAGAATCTTATCACCATACTGATGTGAGGGAGCTGGAGTGAAATCCTGGTGATAGAAAAAAATTTCCTCGTCTCTTCTGTTGTTCCCCCCTGTTGACTCCTTAGTGGAAAGGCGCCTTCTTATCCATGACATCGTCTTTAAATTATTTCCATTCCAGTTAAGCCAAGTGAAGGAATATATGCGTTACCGGAAGCTCCCTTTGCGCATGCGCTTGAAAGTGGAAGAATATTATGAGCATCGCTTCCACCATAAACTATTTGACGAGGACATTATACTCAACGAGCTCTCCAAAGCACTGAGACAGGTACATCCCTCACAACCATTAAGACTTGCTATGACTACGTCCTGTGTTAAGCATCATTATACTATACAATCAGCTTTTAGTATCTGCGGGTGAAATCGTATATGGTAAACTTCTGTTTATAAGCCATAAGCCTGGCAGGGGCTTACACAACTTCGTAAGGAATTTTACGAGGGCTTACACAACTTCGTAAGGAATTTTACGAGGTCTTGTAATCGGGAGGGGGGGGGAGTTGAATCAGGGAGTCTTATAAAAAAGCGTTTCGAAAAACGTTACATAGCAGTGCTAATCAAAATACTGTTTGAATTAAATCGCTTAGTTGAGCTTCAAAACGTCGTCAGAATTCGAATTCTTTTCTATGCAGCTTAGAGGGGGGCTTATAATATATCCGGGGTAGGTTCATGACCGGATTGTATTTTTACAAGTAGATGAGTCTAAAACTGGGGGATGGGGGTATAAGCGGAACTGCACAGTATTGCATGATTGTTTTGTTAATTCGAAATAAAGTTAACAGGTAATTGATTCAATCCAATCTCGTTCTCAGGGTTGCTATCCCGAACGTCCCGCGGAGTTCTCTTGCGCGCATGCACGAACTCTGCAGGAACCTTGGGAAGGAAGTTGGATTCAATCATGTCGCTTGTTTGCTTAAATCTGGCTCGCCGGTACACGATGAAAATGCAGAATCAGTGGACTTGAGATAAAATGATGTATTGTTTGTGTGGTCTGTTTGAAAAAGACACTTGACGTCATTGAAGGAAATTTATTCCACCCAAACGTTACGTTATTGAATCCATCAAAAACGGCCTAAGTGGTCCCTGATATACTACTGGATGTGATTTGCTGCGTTTTAGTAAAGGCCCTAAAGTCGTCTGAATAATCATGTGACATGGCTATCGTGATATTATAACATTTTTTTGTTTCTAACTTTTAGGACATCTTAGTGCACAATGTAAGTCCGTTACTTCACACAGTGCCGTTTTTTAGCAACGCCAGCCGCGAGTTTATCGAAGACATAGTCAGCAAGCTCAAATTTGAAGTTTATCTGACTGGTGAATACATATGTAGAACCGGTCGGAAGGGAGACAAGATGTATTTCATTCAAAGAGGGATTGTTGATGTGCTGACAAGAGATGGAGTTTTAGCAACCAGTTTAGGAGATGGATCTCATTTTGGTGGTAAGACAGATAACAGAATAACTTATTGCATAGTTAATATAGTGGAATTATGGTTTTAAGGCCCCCCAGACCCTAAGCTCAGCCTCCAGCGGTGGATGTCTCGATGCACCGGCGGTATTCGATCTGTCAAGGAATGTTTTCCACCTACACAGTTTAACGAAGTTGCAGCTGTTAAACAAGCAAGTGTACTTGCTTTTAAACTCCGGCAAAACATTTGTATCATGTAATCGTACTGAATATATAAGAGTCTAATTTCCTGAAATAATAACGTAAGTGAATGGATATATTCATTTGAAGGAGAATACAGAGGATAAAAATAGATACGATGTCACATTCTCCTTGCACATGCGTACAAAAAATACCCTCAGATCCTTGCGGGAGCAATGGCCGCCATCTTTAGTTACCAATCCCCACTGTAATGCAACTGATAAACGACTAGTAACCAGGTATTTTACAGTTTCCAATCCAAGATGGCGTCCGTAATGGGAGGAAATTCAAACGTCCCCATCCCCGGGACTTGGCGGTAATCAAAAGTCCCCATCGTGGGCGGACTTTCTTTGTCAAATTCCCGGCCTTTGCCCCTCCTCCCCCCTCCAGATTAACATTGTTAGGTGCATAATGTAAGGGTCAAGTAATCTTTACGCTGCTCTTGCACTCTATTAGGCTGGTGCACGATATACCAAGTAGCAAGTCTCGAGTAACGTCACAAAGAACACAACAATGATCCCTAGCCCTTGCACCATAACACAATAAACTTCACACAATAGAACGAGACAATAGTGGATATATTGACTTGCTATATCGAGCATCTCCCCTCTATTATATCTGATATGATCGTTTGACTTTCTGCGATATCAAATTTAGATTTCGTTTACATTAATGATAAAGTTGCAAAGTTAGTCAAAACCAATTATTTCATTTTTTCGCCCTTTTTTAAGAAATCTGTCTGTTGACGAAGGAAGCACGCAGGGTAGCCTCGGTCCGAGCAGCGACCACTTGTAACCTGTACTCGCTAGCGTCGCCACATTTTCATGAAGTACTTAAGGAGTATCCTGACATGAGGATGATGCTTGAAGAAGTCGCAAAAGAGAGGCTTACCCGCATTGGGCTTAAGCCAAACCTTGCAGAACCTCTAACAAAGGAAGGAATTATGGACGGAAGGTGAGTGCGCGGGAAGCATGGGCAGCTACGGCAGTGACAGCAGCCACGACGACAACAGCAACCTCGTTCCCAGGGTTCTCTCATACCCGTCTCTACGGAGCGAGACTGGTAGGAGAGAGAACCTGGAAACGAGGTTGCGACAACAGGAGACTGCGTTGCTGAGTAGTCTGCGCGTGCGCGTTGGAATCGCAATTCGGAGAACAGTTTCGGCTACTTTGTGGATTTGTTCTCTGTCGTCCCAAGTTTAAATACTCGGCCACGCATTAAAATAGCCAACTGGTTGCCTCCTACCAGCTAACCTGAGTATCAGGCCCTACTTAGTTAGGGGGAGGAAGGGGGGGGGGGGG